AGGAGTCGTGCAGGCAGAGAGGGTTCCTGTGTGACCGACCCGCAGTAAGAACCCTGGGCTCTGAGACTTAAACGGGGCTTCTCCGGGCAGAAACACTGCCCACGTGTCACCGAGTGACACCTCATCGGTGGGAGAATATAGGAAGCCTGCGCCTGGACCATTCCAGTGTCCACCTGGCGTCTCATTTCTCGTGGGCAGTGCCGCGTAGCCTTTTGCTATAATAAAACTTGCCCCCGAGTATGGCCGTGTGGTGGCTCCTGTGGGTCCTCCTGCTGGAGCCCTGAGTGTGGATGCTCGAGAATGAAGCAGCTGACGCTGGTTTCAAGACCGAGCTCTCTGAACTCATGGTCCTGCTTCTGCTAGGGCCTGCTCGGGTTAGCCATGAATGTAAACATCCACGATTCACATTTTATCCAGAGGTTTTTGGTATTTTTTTCCATGGGACAATTATTCCGGGGTTTATGTGGCATCGTATTGTTGGACGGCCTAGCTTTAGAAAAAAAATTTATTTTTCCCGACGCGATCGCATCTTGGTGTGATGTCATCTTCTTCTTGATATTTCCACACGTCAAAAAAAAAAAAATTTTTTTTTTTAAATCCAATTCTCCAAGTGTCAAGCGTTTGCCTTTTCCATCTGAATTGTCAGGAGTGAGGCTGAAATGCAGCTTCCCTCATCCTTCGCTCCGGGCCGGCGGCCCTGCCGTCCCAGGACCAGCCTCTAAGAGTCTGTTTTTGGACCCAGAGAGGAGAGGCTGGGGGTGGGAGCAGCCTGTGGGTCTGCTGTGGAAGGACTAAGTGAGAAGCTGGAAGCAGAATTGTTTGTCACCTTCTCTGCTCAGGAGGGGCCGTGACCCAGTCCAGGAGGAGCTGCAGACGTGAGCACCCCGCACCCCGGGAGAGGCTTGGGGAGAGGAGATGGAGCTCACTCCCAGCGGTTTGTTTTGGCCTCTTTTCTAAGGGAGGAGGAGGCGGGGCAGCCGGTGGGGGAGGGAAAGCACAGATTCTCTCCCGCGGGGCAGCTGAGTTCTGGAGTCACCCAGATCCAAGACCAGCCTCATGGATCCTGGTGCAGAGCCCCCAGGTCCCACCACAGTGTGGGCTCCCCTGGCTTCCTGGGGTCTTCGGCCTGGGGCCGTGGGGTCAAGGACAAGGGCTCTGTGGGCTGCACCACCTTGGAGTAGAAAAACAAGAATGTGCCCTTGGGACTGACTGTCATGGGCCCTCTTCTGCAAACCATCCACTGTCCCTTCCTGCCTCCTCTGACAGCCTGCCCTCAGCTTGCCGCCCCGAACACACGGGCTCACCTCCATGGGTCGGTCAGAGGCTTTTCCAATAGTACAGACACAGGGGGACCAGAGATGTCAGAAACAGCGGAACCCCGACACTGAGCGTCATGGCCCGGGGAGAGGAGCAAAGCCGTAAGCACCGGAGTGACGAGGCTGTCTGTGCTCTGTCCCCAGCCTCCTCACTGCGCAGAACCCCCAGAAACCCCTCCCATCCGGCCTCAGTGTCCTCGTCTGAACGGCGACAGGCTCGGGCTGTGACGTGGGGCTGCTGGCCACCCCGCAGCTTGAGAAGGTCCGGGGAGAGCGTGCGGCGGCCCCTCTGCCACGCTGCGCACGCTCGCCCTGTGGCTCTGCTCATCGATGCTTCAGTGTTGGCCGTTACTTCCCACTAGTCTGTAACACGGTTTCTGCTTCTGCTTGTTCAGTGCCACCATCTGTGGTGACGGGTGTCTAGCTCGGTGCGGAACAGAGGATCATCTCCCTGGTGCCCATCCCCTTGGTTCTGCCTGCCTGCCACTTGCCGCCACCCCCTCCCTGGCCCACCCACCGTCAGCATGTCTATTTTCAAGAGGCACAGGTGCAGCCTGCTGAATTCTTCTGGACGCGGGGTGCTGTGGGGCTCACTGGGCCCCCAGGACGGGGTGCTATCTCAGAAGTTCTCTGTGAAGTAATAGCTCTGGAAATGATAAGCCCCGATGCTGATGGCCGCAGTGGCTGTGAAGAAAGCTGCCAGGGTGAGCAGGGCCTTTAGCAGGGCCTGGGGAGGAGAGGGGACAGAGCGACCTGGATGACTCAGTCTCTCCTGGATCCCGGCCCCAGGCAGAAAGCGTGCCCGCCAGTGGAGCAGGCCTGCAGTGGAGAGAGTCTTGGACCGGCCTCCGGCTTCAGGGCCTGTAGTCAACCCCTGCCCTTCCCCGAACTCACCCAGCAGATGCCACCCCCTTGGTCACGAATGAAGGCGGCGACTCCAGCCAGCACTCCTGGGGAGAGACCGAACCAGGAACAGGGCTGGCTCAGGAAGCGCAAGCCCCTCCTGCGTTTCCCTCGGCGACCCTCGCAGGTCTGGCTGCCCAGCTCCCGGCTGGCCCTCCCGCAGGACACCCCGTAGCTCGGCTGTTTTGAGCTGAGCTTTGTTGTCCGTGGTAAGGTAACAGGGAGGATGTCGAGGCCTGGATCGGACTCCCGAGGCCGCAGGACCCTCTGTTTTAGTGACATCGAAAAGTGCTGCGGCCAAGCCAGGTTGAGCCCTCTCTCCCGTCTCCCAAACCTTCCTTTCAAAGCCACACCAGGAGCTTTATGAAAATTCCAGAAGGGCAGGGTGAAGGTGTAGGTTGTGGAGACCCTACTGTTCGGGACGGATCTCCCAGCGGCCTCAGGCGGGCACTGGGCCCGCAGGCCTCTGCCCCTGGGCTCCCGGAGCCTGAGGGCTGGCACGTCCTGGTGGCCGGATGCCTCCGAGTCCTGTCTGGCTGTCCTGCAACTGATCTGAGTGTTTTTGCCAGTGGGTGGGTGCGGCCGATTCCTTTGGCCTCTCAATAAATGCGAGTGTTTGCTGTTATCCGGTGAGTGAGGCCAATGGGCTTTCGGTCCCCAGGACCTGCCCAGCAAGCTCCCTTTGCGGGCTGCACACACCTATCAGCTGACAGTGACACCCATCGGCCCCCCACTGTGTGCAGAGGGCAGCGGGAAACGACTAAGAGGTGACCCTTCCTTGTCGAGTCAACACTCGGCAGCGCGTTCGGCCTCCCTCATCTCCGTGCAAACGTCCTCGACCCTCAGCTGCCGTTAAAGGTGGGAGAGATGGCTGGCCTGGTGGGACACGCCCTGGGCAGGAAACGGGAGAGCTGACAGACACCGCCTTCCGCTCGGCCGTTTCTCAGCCATGGAAATAGGGGATCGGCCTAGATAACTTAGGGCCTTTTGGTCACTAACGTCCTACAGTCCCTTGTTGATGGTGGTGGTTGTCCCCTCCGACAGGAGGCCCACTTGCCCCTTCTCCATCCTGTCCACCGTCCGCCCGCCCCACTCGCCACAACCCCTGTCCAGATGGGAGCCCCCAGGACACGCAGATGTGGAGGGAGTCGGAGGACAGGGCGTAGACGGGTGCTCCCAGCAGCCCCAGCGCCATCTGCACCCGCAAGGCCAAGAGCCTGAGAACCCGGCTCCCAGGTCCCTGGCCCGGGGGCGACCCTCTGCCCCCACATCTCGGGGTGGCTTTTATGCCAGATATGAACTATTAGAACCTCATAAAGGAGAAAGAGGGGAAGAGAGATGTGGGGAGGAGAGAGAGAGGGAAAGGAGGGGGACCCAGCCGTGCTGGGTCTGGCGGAGGGGAGGGCACGGACTCAGGACGCCATCTGCTGAGACTTCCTGCGCTCACCTCCTTAGCCCATGGTCTGCCCTACTGACAGCTTTGCATGGGGAAGGCCAGTGAGTGAGGAAGAAGGCAGGTCACAGGACGACTGGGTGCCCAGGAAGAGGAGACGGCTGACTCAGCATCCTCCTCAGGGTGCGGCTGGCTGAGACCATTGGCACCAGGAGAGGGTGTCGCTCCTCTCCTGGTATGGAAGCCTGGGTACCACTCTGGTGGCCCTACTCACCCAGGAGGCCACTGCCATCTGCTGCCCCGAGTCTGGGAGGTGGCACCGGGGACAGGGAGCCACAGCAGGGAGCACCTAGTCAGCAGGAGCTGGGCCAGAGCAGACTCCAGGTGGATGTGCACGTCAATGTGGGTGGGCCGGCGGGGGGTCCCAGAGACCCCTCACTACCGTCCGCTGTGCCCAGGCCCATGGGCATCCGGTCTGGAGGAAAAGTTGGCAGATTTTCACAGATTTCATTGGAGCTGAGGACTGGCAGAGGCCCCGGGCCACAGAGCAGCATCTCTGGCCCTCTCGAGGGGCAAGGGGTGTCGTGTCAGGGCGCCCGCCTCTGCAGAGCCCTTGGGACTTCCTCTCATCCTCCTCCCACGGACTCAGGCTCTGGACCAAGCCATGCCTGCATCGCCCCCCTGTCCATCCTCAGCTTCCAGCCGGCTGGCACCATTGCGGCCCCACT